ATAACTTTTGAATGAATGGACCGATTTTCACGCGGTTGGCGGCAATTGACGCAGTTTTTGAAGCTCCATGAAAAATTTCCAAGTTTAAATCGATCGAGCTATGAATTTCGAAGTTATTACAAAAAAACACTTTTTTCGATTTTTTTTGACAACGATATCTCACGAACGCATCAATCGATTCTAACGTTTTTGGTGGCGATCGATGGGGGTTTTCAAGGTTAAGAGCTGATTAGTTTTTGAGACCGATCGGTTCAGCCAATTCGGAGATATTTAAAAAAAATAAAAAAAAACAACTTTTTTTTTTCACTTTTTTTGCATTTTCTCGAAATCTACCGGTCCGAATTTTCAGGAAATCTAAGTTTAGTGAAGCCCTTTCGAATGGCACCAACCGCGAAGAAATCGGTCAAGCCGTTCAAAAGTCATGAGAGGGTACTACACACACACACACACACACACACACACACACACACACACACACACACACACACACACACACACACACACACACACACACACACACACACACACACATACAGCCGCACGGGCACCCTCGCGGAGATAGTCAGGGAAGCTTCCTGTGATCTTTAAACGTCGAGATCTGATGAAAACTCGATTTTTGTAAAACGGGGTGAAAACAATAACTTCCCTATTTTTGAAAATCTTCCATTTTCTTTGCGGGAAGTTAAAAATTTCTACGCATAGAGGACACTTAAAAGTATGTGTATTAAAAAATTGAGATATTTTAAGAAAACGGTTTTTTTCTCGGAATGTCCTTAATTCCCAGATAATCAGTTTTTGAATCAAGATAATCAAATAGTTCTTTTGAATCAATTTTTAACTTCCCGCTAAGACAATTGAAAATTTTCAAAAATCGGGAAGTTATTGGTTTTACCCTGTTTTTCGAAAATCGAGTTTTCATCAGATCTCGACGTTTTGAGGTCCTAGGAAGCTTCCCTGACTATTCCCGCGAGGGTGTCACTATGTCTCTATGTATGTATGTGTGTGTATGTAAGTATGTAAACCTCTTATAACTTTTGAACGGTTGAACCGATTTCATCGCGGTTGGTGCCATTCGAAAGGGCTTCGCCAAACTTAAATTTCCTGAAAATTTGAACCGATTCGGACCGATAGATTTTGAGAAATTTGGAGAAATCTCAAAAAAAATAGGAAAAAAAATTTTTTCAGAAGTGGTTTTTTTGGAATAATTTTTAACCGGCTCTACCGATCGATTTAAAAAACTAGTCAGCTCTCAACCTTGAAAAACCTCGTCGATCGCCGCCTATCCGGTCAAAACCAGTTGATTCGTTCGAGAGATATCGTGAACGAAAGAAAACCAAAAAAAGTGTTTTTTTGGAGTTACTCCAAAATTTCTAGTTTGACCTATTGAAACTTAGAAATTCTTTATGAGGCTTACAAAACTGCGTAGAATGCCGCCAACCACGTAAAAATCGATTGATTCATTCAAAAGTTATTGCGGTTTGAAAATTCAAAAAATAGTGTTCCATGAAACTATTATCAGACTTTTGAGTTCAAAGAGCGCAAAAGCACAGAAAAGGTATCTTTTTAAGCTCGGAGAGCTCAAAATAACACACAGATTGTATTTTTGAGCTCGAAGAGCTCAAAAAACGGCCATGTATTAACGGAATTAGCGGGAAATTGCAGAGATGGCCTTTAGGGTCAACCGTTTTCCTAATTTTTTTTAATGTAATTTATGCACCGCAGGTATTTACAATTACAGAGTTTTCATCTTTTGAGACTCCTGTGGTATGTAGTCATAAAATCTTATTAGGAAGCCCATTATAACTTGAATATTGCAAAATAATTCCAAGGCAAAATTAGTTAAAATTTTGTTGTAGCAAAATAACTTCACTTAACATTGACAGTAAAAAAAACCTCTTCAAACTAAAATTATAAAAACATAATCGACTACAAATTATATAAATGCAGCAAACTATCCGATCAAAACTATAAAATTTCAGGTTATTATAATTAATAATTATTTTGGACTCAACATTAAACTATATGAATCAAGGATAAACAATTTAATTATCAACTATTATAAGTACAATAATAACGTGTATAATATAACATTCTACTGGTCTAGGATACTTCCTTGTATTTAATATAAAATACCTCTAGTGTGAGTTCAGAAATTGTTTATTGCCCATAAAATGACCGAGGGAAGTAAGTAATTTTCAGCAGCTAGAATTCATAAAATAACAGTTCATCATCCATCATTATGTATGATTTCAAGCAATAAATAAATAAATAAATAATTGTGTTACATATATACATTCATCCATCACCTTCCAACTCCTCCGATCTTGATCCTCGTAAAAATGAGCGCGAATAAATTAAAAAATATTTCAAAGATAAAAATACACAACAATGAGATTACGTACATGTCAATTATGTTTTATGCCAAGTCTTAGCAGGTAATTAATCTATGTCAGGTATATAAGGTAAATTATCTCACATCTCGGACATTGTTTTCCCAAACATACTTTGAACAAACATTGTAAATCTTTCAGAACAATGCGTGCTGCTACTTTGGTGCTTTTTGCTTGTGCTCTTGCCGTTGGGGTAAGTGTAAATATTTTTGTTTTCATTTATCATCAATACAATTAACTTTTTTTAATTAATCGAGACATTACATTACTCTGAAACAGCTATACATTCTTTTGAATGAGTAAAAGAATTGCACGTTTTTATTGTGAACACGACTTGAGAATTCTTGCGCTTTCACTCACTAAAAATTATGTGTTAATTTTATATTTTTCGAAAGCCTTGGGGCTTTAGAATTTCGAAAAAAATTTGCACAGAAAATGAATATTACTTCATTAAATTCGCTTTTTACTTCTATTATATTTTTATCATAAAAAAAAAATTATTTGCTAGAATTGAAAAATTAATAAATTTTGTAAAAAACTTGCTGTCAATTTTGTTGCATCTTGTAGCAGAAAAAATTTTTTGAAACACAAGATAAAACTAGCATTTTTTTCACGACTTATGATGCAAAGCTCTACACTCGAAAAATTTTTTTACCACCTCATTGCAACTATTTTTATTTTGTTATGCTACATTTTATATTAAAAATTCAATGAGGATTATGAATTGTTAATTTTTGTATTATCAAAAATCTTCTTTTCTTTACCGTACTATAAAAAAAAAGTAAAGTTGGGATAATCCAAAAGTACACGACTCATAATGTTCAGTTAATTGTAAAATAATAATAATAATAAAAAAGTATAAAGCAACTGTAATAAGACGATTAAGTGCAGGCGCTTTTAGTTGGATAAATGTACATTTGTACATAATATATATATATATATATATATATATCCATTTTTTTATTTTATTAATTGCAATTAAACGACATTGAATTACATAGCCATTCGCGGTAGGGGACCTACAATTCCTTCAAAGAATTAAAGAAAAGAAAAGTTGACTCAATTAATGGATTTTTTCACACGTTACAGTAATTCCGAGTTTCATACTTGACAGTCGGTAAAATTTTTTAAACTATTTTGATGTTTTTTTCCGTTTTTATTGCACCAAATTAATTTTCGTAAAGTATGTAATTAAATCTCCATTTAAATTATCTTCACAAGAAGACACAAAATACTTTAATTTCATGAACTAACAAGAGTATAAGTAATCAAAATAGTTACCGAAATGAGGCGAAAAAAATTTTTCGATCGTAAAGCACTCTCTGCAGAGATGCTTCACATCATGAGTCGTTCAAAAAAATAATGAATTCTTACACATAACTATCAAATCACTCATAATTCAACCAATTAAGATAATTAAGGAGTTCAAGAATAATTATTTTTAAATAAGGAGATAAACTTACCAAATATTACATTATTTTATATAAAATACTCACACATTTATTCAAACTTTTCACCTTAATCTTTTAACTATTAAATTTAAAATTTTTATCAATATACCAGTCTTGCTATCAATAATATTAGTAATTTTTCATTTCATCAATTAGGTCTTACACAATTATATAGATATATTATATGTTATTGCTTATTGTCAATATTATTGATCGATAATTAAGGTACTTGGTGAGATGCCACCAGAATCAGAACGTGCAAAAATGATGAAGAAATGTATCACAGAATCAGGACTCGATGAGTCTGCCAAGAAAGATATTTTCATCATGTCCGAGGGAGAGCCTAGTCAAAAAATAAAATGTTTCCATGCTTGTATGAGCAGAGAAATGGGTGTCGTACGTATATATATATATACATATATTTTTATCCTGCCTAGGCCCAAAATTCGGATTCTATCCATTCTATCTGAGACCCAAGTGATACATTCTATCCTCGGTTTACCTTTCTATCCTCGGTTTACCCACTAGTGCGCATGTGCGATACTATGCGCGTCAGTACTCACACGCATCAAGCTTCAGAACAGCTGTCACGACGCCATTAGTGCAATATCTCGGCAATAAAAACACATATCAATTGTGATATAATTTACGTAATTTAGTTAATAGTTTATGAAGTTAAATAATTATAAAACAATTAAAAAACTAAAATGAGCTCATCTGAAACGTCAGTGATGAGTGACAGTGGCAAAGAGGGTACTGACTACATTCAAGCTAATACTTGTCTAGTTCAGAAAGTAAGTTTTATAATAATAATTATAATAATAATAATAATAATTGAAAATTTAGTTAGCCGACATTTAAAAATTTTTTATAATTTTTTTTTTAATTATTTCAAAAAAACAAACAAAAATTTCATTTATAAAATTTTAATTTATTTATTAAATTATTATTTATTTTAATTTAAAAAATTAAAAAACTATAAGTGCAATATAAATATTTATTATAAATATTTTAAGTTCTAATTTAATAAGAGAAAAAGAAATCAAAATATTAAAAACGTCAGCTAACTTTATTATTATTAATAATAATATTAATAATAATAATAATAATGATAATAATTAAATATATATACAATTTTTTTTTCTATTTACAAATATATATTTACACAAATTATAATTTTGTAATTAAATTACTATGTTTCAGGTCATTTTAATTCTAGGATTTTGTGGAGCGGTGTGATGCAAAGAACTTCGATTGTTAAATCATAATGATGTCGAAGATGTTGGGTCTAAATTTATCGAATCTGTTCGAGACACCAAAAATTATTACCCACGATCTTTTGTGATCATGAATCAATACTACAACTTTGTCAAAAATTACATCGCTAATAAACTTTTCGAACTGTTGATAAGAAAAATATTTATATTTTGTTTTTTCCAAAGAAAATATAAAAATATAAAAATACAAAAAAAATAAAAATTATAAAATAATATAATTTAAAATAAGTAGTCATTAAACTTTTCTACGAATTTTGGGCCTGGCAGGATAAAAAATAGTATGTGCAACATAGGACCAAAGTACTACATTTCTGTCCCGGATATTTGCCACCCGAGCCGAAGGCTCGGGTGGCAATCCCATACCCGGGACAGAAAGTAGTACTTTGGTCCCATGTTCCACAATATACTATTTTTAAACATTAAATCACATTTTGTGATCATAGAATAATTTAATTCAATTTTTTTTATTTGATTTAATTAAGATGGTTGATGGAAATATTAACAAAGATAAGGCCATCGAGATGATTCCGGCTGATTTTCCGGAGCGTGAAAAAGCTGTTGAAGTTTTTTCGAAGTGCAGTGAAGAGAGTAAGTTTCTTTTTTTTTATTATATAATGATGGCTATTCATTTGTTTTTTTTTTTTTATCACGATATTGTGCGAAATAATGTGTCAAGTACGTAAGTTGATTCATTTATTTATAAATGAATTACATCGATAAGGTTTTTCGAGATTCGTGTGCGAGCGCACACGCTTTGCTTGTTGCGCCAAACTTCCAATAGCCGAAAGCTATGTCCACTCAATTACATAAATGTAAGCAATTCAAATGATGTCATGTTATTTAAACAGATTCTCAATATATGGAACCTTCTATAGTTTTTCAACATAGTTGAATGTATCAACAGATGGCGCTACATTTTTTTCAATGAAATTTTTTTTTGTTTTATTATTTGTTGAAATAAAATTTTTTTGTATAATGTTTTTTTACACAATTTTTTTATCAAAAAATTTTTTTTAATTTTTCAGTCAAAAAATATTTTTTCAACTTAATCTTAATTTTATCAAAAAAGGGATATATATATAAGCTTTAACACGGTAATTTAATCTTCAAAGTTGATGAAGAATTGAAAGAGATTTAACCCAACCTAAAAAATTTCTTTTCTCGTTAGAAAGAGAATTCAAAACAATTGAAAATGTTAGTTCTCGATGAGTGAAAAAATTTAAAAATATTGAAATTATTAAGAAATATTATAAATAATTCAAATTTCATTATTTCCAATACTTTTTAATCCATTATTTGATAAGATCATTAAAAAATAAGGTATGGGATATTTATCATGAATCATTGTTATTCAATCGATACAATTGACTAAAATATTATTTGTATTGCCGTTTTAACTTAATTTGTCGACTTTTCAATATTATACAATTTTTTTTCAAATTTAAATTTTAATACCGTGGGAATTTTTGACATTTTACTTCAAAATTTATGTAGTCAATTTATATCATTCTTTTTTCTGAACAAATTTTGATTACAGAAGGAAGCGATGACTGTGAGACAGCTTATCTCGTTTTCAAATGCCTGCGTGATAATAAGGTAACACTAATAACCATAATAATGTGTAATGAACAATGATACTAATCACAATTGCTATATTATTATGAATAAATATAAAAAACTCAATGATCACTTCTACTAACGTAACCTTCATGCTTATTTATTAATAATGGTAATAATTATAATTATCATTGTAATTAGATAATAATGAATAATCTTCATCGAACATTGTTGTATAGATGATACCTCCTCCTCCTCCCCGTCCGGAATAAAATTGAGGATTTCTGATCACTTGGATATTGTATAAAGATGACTCACGCTCCTGACAACCGACCTAATTGAAAATTATGTAATGAAATGGTAATAACAATAACATGAATTAGTATAATGTTACAATTAAAAATGTTGTATGGAAATTAATAAAATAGTAGAGTAATAAACAAACTTTATTAGTTATTTTTTAAAACGAATAAAACTATCACACTTAAAACGAATCACACTCGTCTATTTCTGAGTAAAGATCACAACAAAGTAGAACATTTATCTATAAGCAATGTTTTTGAGATACTCCGATGCGACCTTTAATCTTTCAGGAATTGTAATAAAAATTCGGAATATTTATAAGTTAAAATTAATAATCATTGCGGTGATGTGTAGTCTATGATGGGAATGATAACGATTTTAAGCATGGATGGATAATAATGCTGACTAATTTTATAAAAAATATGAAAAAAACTTTATCGGTTTATTATGTATCAGTGTCGAGGTAATGATTTAATGGACAGCAAGACGGAAAATTTATCGATGTATTTTTCGTATCGGTCATTCGACGATTATTTTTTCCTCGAAGATGTGATTGGAAAATAATTAGATGGATTCTGTATATAAGCTAAGGTATCGACTATCAAACACCAGTTTCAGATTAAAAATCTTTAATCATGCATCGATTCGCGGTTGTTTTGGTTTTCGCAGCAGTTATTGTCACAGAAGCGGTAAGTTTAATATTTTAAATTTCAATTTTTCCGAAGTTTCAGTTGAATTTTAATAGTAGTGGTGAAAAAATGATTCATTTTAATGCAAAAAAAAAAAATTACTTGCAATCAGAGAATCGACGTAGTGATAGAGTAATTGGTTTTGTGAATTTCATTAAGTTCAATGCTAGTAAGCATTAATATAATTCTTTTTTTTTTTTGCTTTAAACACCAGGATATTTTAACACAAAAAATTTTAATTTCTACGGAAAAATCATTCAACTATCACTATATTTTTAACTTCCCGCTAAAAATCGAAGATTTTCAAAAATCAGGAAGTTATTGTTTTCACCCCGTTTTACAAAAATCGAGGTTTCATCAGATCTCGACGTTTGAAGGTCACAGGAAGCTTCCCTGACTACTCCCGCGAGGTTGTCACTATGTCTGTATGTGTGTGTATGTGTGTGTGTGTGTGTTTGTTTTTTTTTTTTTTTTTCCTTAGGGGGGGAATCCTTTTTGCAGATTCCAGGCAGAGCTGCTTGGCCTGGATATGTGGCGACTCGACGCAGCGTCATACTAAAACTCGACGCTGACGCCCCTACCCACTAAACCCTAAACCCCTTTCTCTTCTATCCTCTGATCCCCCATGGTACCGCCGTAAGGCATTTCTTCGCGGGGGGAGGAATTAGCTGCCGCTCTTCCTTCTGGTGGCTAAGGTGTGATTTCTACCTTCCTTCTAGATTCTGTCTTCTACTTTTTTTCTCTCAGTAGAACGCAGCTCTGTAAGCACTTCTGTGGCAAAAGTGTTTGTTGCATTCCAGGCAGCTTCTGAAGACAGCATTGCTTCTACGATTGTCTCTGGTTGAATTGTCTTCTTCAGGATCTTCTCCAGCTCCTCACGTTGTTGATTGAAACGCGAGCACTCGAAAAAAACGTGCTCTGCATCTTCAGTGGTTCCGGGGCAAGACGGGTACTCCGGAGAATCGTCATGCCTAAAGCGGTGAAGATAAGCCCGAAAGCAGCCATGTCCTAACAACATCTGCGTAAGGTAGTAGTTGACCTCACCGTGATTCCGGTTCAACCAAATGTCGATTTTTGGTATGAGACGATGCGTCCATCTACCGTTCTCTGCGGCATTCCACTGAGATTGCCATCGTGCGATGCTGTGCTGTCTTTGTTCCGTTTTGAGTTTTTCCGCGCTCAGTGTTGTTGACCTCTTTCGTTGGTAAAGGTTCCGTCTTTCTTCAGCTAGGACTCTGAGAAGTAGTGTTCCAGAAATGACGCACACTGCTTCCTCAGATATTGTGCGGAAGGCGCAAGCTACTCTTAGGGCACTCAGACGGTATACTGGCCCAGCCTTTCTCCATGCTTCTTGTAATTCTAACGCATCGGCCCTAATTGATATTCCGTAAGTGAGCACCGATGTGACTACTGATGACAGTAATAGCCTCCTGCTTTGCTTTGGGCCTCCGACGTTAGGCATCAATCGTGCGAGACTTGCACTTACTACTGACGCTTTGGCACTGACGCGTTCCACTTGCTGTTTAAAGTTGAGACGGGCATAATGCATCACTCCCAAATATCGGATATAAGGTTATGAT